GAGATGGAGTTTGACTATAGTATCATTTTAGTATTTATTTGGGTAAAAAATTTATGGTCAAAAAGGTCCAGAAGGTTGTAAGATAGAAAAGATGGAGACTTTTTGCTTAGAAGTAATATTTTCAATTCCTGAGTCTCATAAGATATGGGAGTTAAAAATATAAGATAAGAAGATATTTTCCTTAAAAAATTAAATTTCAGATATTCAAGGTTTGAAGTAGCAACAACTTGAGAAAAATAAAAAAGAAAATGTTAAAAAAAAACGAGCTTCATTGTATAATCAATGTTTTGGACTAGACTTTTATAGTGCCAGTAGTCTAGGGGGATATTTGAATAAATATCTCTGCTTTGAGGGATTGTTTGGTAACTGGATTCTCGATTAGAATTGGACAATTCAGAAATCTGGAAGGCAAAAAATTGAGTCCTTTGGTAGTACAAGATACTATGTTTGGTTAATCAGTCTAGAATTAAGGGGTTTTGGAAAACTATGTGGTGTTTAAGCTCACATTTTGCAAATTACGAGACCGAAAAATTAGCCAATTTTAACCATTTGGTATGATTTTTGTTAATAAGATGGTAATGTTTATTAAATAAATGTATTTTAAAATTATTTCTCATCCATGGTAAGTCTAGCAAAATAGACGCTCTATATCATATAAAAAGGGGGGAAAAATTGGACAAGGTGAGAGCATGTCTAAATATTTCAATTTTATTTTACTTTCAATACATCAAACTAAGCTATAATTTGGACTTCTATACTTCGCATCCTCAAGAACTCATAATAAATAGAGAAAAAATAATTTGGAAAAAATATAATAATCGAAATACCCTCACAGATGGTTGAAAGACTATTTGAGTATTTTAATTTTATTTCGTTTATTATATATTAGATTTACCTAAAATATTGGGAATCTATGCTTCTCCCCTTCATGCACTTAAAAAAATCTAGAACAATTTTTAGAGAATGCAAAACGACTGAAACACGAACTCCACATTGTAGATCACCTAGAACATTATCAATTTCAATCGTTGACTCTTGATTGGATGGTATG